GCTGTGTCTGTGTACTTACTCTAAGTAAGTATACCCTGGAGGATGATGCGTCGATGATGAAGGAAAATATAAGACAGGTATTTACATACTTATATTATACATTATCATATATACTTACTCTGTGGGTGCGGGCACTGGTACTAGTATATGCGTGGTATCAGAAGAGGCTGAAGCATTGGATCAGATTTGAAGTCAGATTCGAAGAACTTGTCGAGAAAAGAGCTTTCAATGGAGATTTCATGATTGGACTAGACTAAAAATTAGACACTGGACGTTCGGCCGCGACGTTCGTTCGTCCGATGTTCGAACAACTTGGGGAAGTTGAGGTTGAGGCGATCAAGTAGTGACATGCAACTTCAAAAGTTCAATATGTATGTATATACACATACAGTACATACAATACATGGGAGTCGGGGAGTCGGGGACAGGACTGTCTTTCAATCAACTTGCAAATAAGTTCGCAGATCCGAGGGTGCCAAGAGCTCCGCGGAAGAAGAAGGCGGAAGGAATGTATGTATTTCAAAGGTTTTGTACCTGTATACATAGTCGTTTCAGTAAATATAACTTTGGATTATTGGGTATTTTGAGTTTGGAGGTTTCGCGAAGGCTCGGACTACGACTCAGTGCAACTTGAAGTTGGGTTATAGGTTCCGATGAAGTACCGACAGTATGGATATGAGTATGACTGTTACCGTGGGCTTCGATTACGAGGTTTGATTTTTTTTGGCTGGTTGTCTTTTAAATAGTACTAGGAGGAAGGGTCGGTGACGGTGATCGGGAAGGGTGGGGGTTTGGGACTAGCGGAGCGGGAACAAGGTATGAAGGCGTGGAGAGTGAGGAAGGGATGGATGGAGACGTTGTTAGTTCAGCTTGTATTTCACTCGCGTACGTTGACTATGTCAACCATCTTCTTCCGTTTCACATCTGCAATCTGCGCCATCTCAATCTGCATCTATCGAACGTATGTACGTACGTACGTACGTCTGTAACTTACGTAGGGTCAACCGGAAGATGCAACGCCGGATGCCCTTCATCATAATCCTGATTCCTTATACGTCGATGGATACCTTTCGGGACCGCGCCATCGTAGTTATATAACTATATTGGGACTCGAACAGTCGAGATATATAGATGTTGTTGTTGGCGGTTGATGATGGTGATGATGATGATGATGGGAGGGGTGGAATTGAATTGGAGGGGTTTTTTGTTACATTGGAAAGGAAGGTCTTGTTTAAGTAAGCACTGTGAATGGATTTCGTTGAGAGAACTGATGTTGGCTGTTGGCGGTTGGGTCGTGGTGTTGACGGTTGTATAGAGTGTTGACAGAGGGTTGCACTAGGGTTACGCTAAGGGCTGTACCTTTCTTATTGGGTCGACACTGGATAGATCTACGTAGGCTGAGTCGAGTGAGAAAGTCCTCGGACGAAAATGGGTTGAATGGATACTATGAATAAGATGTTTTACTGTTAAAGAAAACGGAGAGGAAACCTGTGTCGGGGATGATCGTCCTGTCCTTCGGAGGATAGAGATCGTTAAACCGGCGGTTGAATGGGTTCGGATAAACTGGGAGGTAGGACGAGTGAGTCTATATTAGGAAGTACGCAGACCTTTGAGATTGTGATTACTGTACCCCTCGGGCGGGCGTTTCAGAGAGAGTCGTTTGAAAAAAACTACATGCATGGTTGTACGTTGAGTAGAGCGTGTTTTGATCAGAGGTATCCAGCACGCATACAATCGAGTTGAAGTAGGAGTCAAGACTTGATAAAGCATCCGCTCGGAGGAAATTACAGCAAATCCGAACGTGAATCGGACCCCGGGATTGAAGCGGTTGTAACGGTGCGCTTTTCCGCTGGCTTCCGACGCGGTTTGAAAGAAGACTCGGGGAGAGGTTGGAAATAGGCTTGCAGGGTAAGAGACGAATGAGAAATTTTTTTTTTACTTGGGACGAGTTTTCACAGAAGAGGCACCGACGTTGTTCCGTCCGGGTTCTTGCGAAAAAATTTTTGTAAAGGTTGCGTTGCTTCTAATGTTGCTCGTTGTAAAATTTACGCAAGTGGGCTGTGATTCGTGGTGTTCGAGATAGAAATTGGAAGGGGTAGAGGGGAGGCGGGTTCTGTGATTTTGGTTGGCGGAACGAGATAATTTCTCTCATCGGCAATCAGGCGGCTGAAGATTGAGAATATTCACAGGCTGTCGAATATAATTACCCAGATAACAATTACTGCCCTCCCCCCAAATCCCGCTTACTTTGTTTAGAACACCGGTTCCTCTTTCCTTCCCCCCCTTTTCCTTTCCATCCTCCATCTCCGATTAGTCCTCGCCGTCAACAAGGATCCCGCTTGGTAGTAAGTCTGGATTTCTTAGATTCAGATAATTTGGAATCTAATCTCTGCGGTACAAGTCTCGCGACCCTTGCCCGGCTTCAACCCCATCCGCCTCTTCCTCGACACGCTTGAGCTCAGCTCGCGAACAATCACCGGTCTTTCTACCTCAAAACAAAAAAAAAAGAAACAACTATGACTCTTGGAATCACCATTCCTTCTCCTTCCGGACGAGGCTCTCCAGCTTCAGACGATTCATCTCAAATCCAAACCCCCATCTCTCCCTCCTTTGCTCCAGACGGTTCTGCCCTCGCAGAATCACCAACAGCCATACCCAACTTCAATTCATCAGCCTCATCGTCTTCATCATCACCGTCATCGTCATCCAATGGCAACGGCAACAACAACAACAAACGCAAATCGATCCGTCGAGCAAATACAGCCGAACGTCGTGCGACTCATAATGCCGTCGAACGAGCACGTAGGGAGACTTTAAATGGAAGGTTCTTGGTACGTTCATATAGAGAGTTTCATACAAGATCCATATCACTCATATATACATTCACTCACAGGACCTCGCCGCTCTCCTCCCAAACCTCTCCCAAATCCGCCGTCCTTCCAAATCAGCCATCGTCAACTCCTCCATCGCACATGTCCACGCATCTAGACGCCATCGTCAGCTCGCCTCACGAGAACTACGTCTCCTCAAGCTCGAATCCGGTAATGTCCTTTTTTCCCCTCTTGTACCGAGGATCATTTTGCTCATGTCGTAACGTTTTTCCAACAAAAGACGCACTCCGTCGCGAGCTCAATGAATGGAGAGATCGAGCGGGTATTCCTAGGGTGCAAGAACCTGTGCGGGGCGATGGGTTCAGTACGATTCTTAGTGGGGAGCTTGAGATTTTGCCGATGCCGAATATGATGGATGAGGAGGACGGGGAGTATGGGTATGCTGGGGATGAGGATGGGATGGGAATGGGGAATGGGTATGTTGATCATCCTAGTTCGGAGGGGTATACGTTCCCTATACCTCCGAGACCGACTTCGGGTCATGGGTATGATATGTCGGCGGCAGCGGCAGCGGCGATGGAGCAACAGCAACAGCAGCAGCAACAACAGCAACAACAACAGCAGATGATGATGCGTCGTGGTGCGGCACCACCAGCCCCAGGTCCGATGGTGGCTTCGCCAGGAGGGGGTATGGTCGTAGAGAACCCGGCTATGGGGATGATGTACAATGGCATGGGCAATGTCCCGTATCCGCAGAACCCTTACATTCCCGATATGGACCCTCAAGCCAAGTGGGCTCCAGGTCCTGGCGGTCGCATGCCGCAGGCAATGGCCGTCGGTGTCGGCATGGGTGGTGGCCATGGGATGATGGGGGGAGGTGGAAGTGTCGGAGGGAACGGAGCTGCGTTTTCGATGATGATGTAGATGGTTGTCGTCGGAAAACCGCTCGTTTCGTTTATGTTGTTCCCCTCTGGCTCGCTTTCATGATTCTTTTGTGTTTCGCCTCCTCTCGTCTCTCATGTCTCATTTCTCTGTGTTTATTCTGTATCACCACCCTACGCTTATTACTTGATGCTGCTACGCTCTGCTTGATATACCCTAACCCCCTCCGCGGTACGCTATTGCCTCTTTAACCCCGACGCCTGCACCTGCATCTGTGTGCTACTTTCGCATGTATATATCTATGCGTTTGTCTCCATCCCCTACTCATGCCCCTGCTCATGCTTTCTCTGGCTCATGATCGATGTCGTTGTCTCGCCTCCCTTTTTTCCTCTTCCTCTCCCCCCCACTTCTCCCCCCCTTCTCTCGGATCGCTGCCTTCTGCGCGTCCAAAGATCAATTTCCTTATCCCCGCCATGTTTATCGTCATCTATCCCCATTATCTCCTATCGTACGACGTCCGCTCTCCCAACCCGCAACCCTCAACTCTCCTTCCGTCCTTCCCTCTTTTTCCCGCCTTCCCGCTTTCCCGCCCTCTCTTTTCCCACGCTCCCGCACTCCCGCGCACTTTACCTTCCCTTCCCTCACTCCGTTCTCGTCCTCGTCCTCCAACGACTCGTTCATTTACCAGTACCAAGTACCGAATACCAATACCATCCCTTCTACGTTTCACGTCTTACTTACTACATACCGTACCGTTTACGCCCCCGCCCCGTCCCCGTCCCCGTCCGGCTCGTTCCGCATTAGAGAGAATATATATATATATTTCCCTATCCGTATCCGTATCTGAATCCGTGTCCGTATCAGTCCGTTCGTCGATCGCGTTCGTCCTTGTCCATGATCCATGTTTCACTTGGGTTCCTGTCTTTACTATTTACGCTGAAGTTTTGAGAGAATTGAAGAAATAAAATTTTTGTGTTTTTATTTTTGTTTATTTTTGGTTTGGTTTGATTTGATTTCGTTTGGGTTGGTTTTGTCGGTTGGTCAGTGAGTTGAGTGAGGTGGAGTTGAGGGAGGTGGATACGAGGAGTTGGTTGATTGGGGGATGGGTGGATAAGATCGGTGAGATTGAGGATGAGGACTCGGAGGTGGTCCATGTTATCTTCTACTGGACGACACTGTGGTTGAAATAGTATAGCACTTGGGGTAGTACTGACGCTCAATGAGAATTCACCCGTATTATATTCGCTATACAACAGTAAACATTATTCAATATTATAACGTTAACATGGCTACCTGGCGCAATGGTAGCGCGTTTGGCTTCGATTGCTGAGTGTTACCAAAAGGTTGCAGGTTCGAGTCCTGCGGTGGTCATGAAACACATGTTCGCCAATTTTTTTTTTTTCTTTTTTCTTTTTGACTTTGCCTCACTTCTGTTTTCAATTGACGGGTGGAAACACTCTGCCTACAATGAGATGGGTGGGCTGATAAGGAAGAGGTTACGCACTACGCTGGCAGCTATTGTACTACAGATGTCCATCATGATACCTTGCATTTTGGCATTCGGGATGAGTGCCGCTCTCGTCTTCGTGGTGAGTCTGGGATCTGGAACTTGGTCGGATAGCGGTGCACTTGGGGGCACTCCTGTCCCCTGGCTAGAGCTGAAGCTCTAAAGCCTGACCTTCACTGCTTACTATCTCATGGTCGTTACTCAGGTCACTTGATTTGGGCCTGCTCAATGCGCACAGAGTACGTAGAGGCATGATGGCTGGCAGGCGAGATGGTAGTGCGATTGGACGCAATTACCACTGAATACTTATATGTCAAAATCAGTTCAAGTCCTGCCGCCTGCGTTAGCTGTATCCGTTTTTTTTAAATTCTTATTATTATTTTATTTGTTTTTTGACTTCCTTTCTCGTGTTTTGCCTTCCTGTTGTTGGTGAGTATATTACTTAAATCAGACTTACACTTCGATTGCTAAGCGGAGGCTAATCATTCCAGGAAGCATGCGTACAGCACTGGTCGCGCCACCCGAGCATCTCCAACTGAAGCTGCGGGTCCAAGGGAGATGCGGGAGCACGGCTCACCTGTGCAAAGGTCGGAAGCGGTGGTACTATATCAGTGCTATGAGATATGGAGCTTATTGATTTTGTTATATCTGGCCTGGTAAGACAGAATCTTGATTGCTTTTCCACATGTCTTGCCAAATGTGATTTTTGCAACATTTTGTATGTTCGTACTCATTAGGCTTTCTCCTCCGTCTCCCAGTGGCTTTTTAGGCTACCCATCCCTTCCCACCTTGCCTTTGCCTGGCAGCCTGTCACAACTGAAGCGAATGATGTTATATTTCGTTTCTCTATGATGGACTTCGTTTTCAGCGTTTGTTTTATTGGACTTTCTTCACCTTACTATGTTAAGTATATGGACTTTCCTGCGAATGTGGACAGCCGTATATGGACTCTAGTATATTTGTTGTAAACCGTTCCGGAGCATCCCCATGTACATGGGGACCTTCGGGGCTGTTGTCCTTGGCTCAAAATGAATGTCTCCCATGAGATGATTGGTATATATTTGGACGATCTTTTTCTGATAACAAACAGAAACTAGACCAAGAATATTGCTTAAGGATGCCCTGGTACAACCATTACTATTCCAGGCTCCAAACATTCTCTACACATTTCTATACATTTTACAATTATCTGCAGAACCAAGGGAGAGCTTTGAAATGCGACAAGTTCTGTCTGAGGGCAGAAATATGCTCTGAACAAGTTTACAGAGCTTCTTTATAAGGTTTATAATTATTTTAAATTAGGATCCATTTACAAAAGTAAAAATCAGTGATTATTCTAATGAGGATAGTTTTGTACAAAATTCTGAGTATATTCGGATTTACAGAGTGGAATAATTTGATGGCACTTCTGATCTTCATTGCTTTTTTCCCTTCAACTTGAAAGTAAAGCTTAGAGCATTGTTAAATGCTGCCAGACAAGAACTAAACAACTTCATTTCATAATGACTAACACGGTGTGTAGCAACTGGATGGTCAATTTTCCAGTTAGCATTGAACACAAGTTTCAAGGCTTCCGCCCCAAAATTGTGTAATAAGTATTGAATGCCTCGCCAGGTTTGGTATTCCATTCGCTCACGGCTTCATCCACGAGCTGCTCGTACTCTTCTCCCGAGTTGACAAAACCATAACCACCTCCATCGGCTACATCTCTTTTCAATCCCTTCCAAAACTTTCCCCATTCATCACCGGGAAATCCTGATGGTCCCACCGGCGTGCGTCGTTCCTCACACCGAACATCCACGAAACCGGCTTCCTTCAAAAGAGTAGGGAGATATGTGCCCAGATCACCGACGACTCCCTTGCTCCCATACAAGCGGGACAAGATAGATTGCACCTTTGTCGAAGATGGACCGACGTCCCAGTGACCATCCTTTGCTTCAATTTCCACTAGCTCCACCCAGCCCCCAGGCACAAGCACTCTAAAGAACTCACTAATGGCTTTGCGCCAGAGAGTGTCGTTCATCGCTGCTATCAAAAGCCTTTGATGGGCATACAAAAATGTTGAGCTCCACTCCGCCGGCAGGTCGGTCACCGAGTGCAGGGAGAAGTTGAGGTTGGAGGGGTAGTTTGGGGTGAATTGTTTATCAGAGATATCAATGCAGTCCATTTCGAGCATGATACCCTTTTTCTTGTTCTCTTCCAAGAATTCGAGTGCCCAGATGCCTTAGGCAGATTTGGAACTTTAGTAGGTTTTTTGGAAGGGCAGAGGTAAGCGAAAAAATGCTTACCGGTTCCTGCGGCACTCTCAAGGATACGATCCCCATTTTCCAAGTTCAGTGGTGCCAGTGAAAGCTGATTCTCGAATGTTTGAAGTATGATGCGGTGCTGTAAATTCAATCTTCATCGCTCTATTTAATATAATCTTTTCACCCTGTGAGAAATGAGAACTAACCTCGCCGTCTCAGTCCCATCAGCAGGAAGGAGATACTGCTTCGAAGCGTAGTATCTTTGTTGAGCGTGCTCTGCCATGACTACTGGCAACTGGAATTGTATAGTAAGTACTTGCTTGACAGGCAATGTTATAAAGGAATCCCCAGGCTACGCTAATCTTCGGTAAGATCACCATTCCCAGCAACTTTTCGCCCATTAATATGAGAACGGAATATCACGGAAGAAAGATTTCCGCTACACGCTATTTGACCTCTCTTACGCACGTTATTATACTTTGTGAATAAGCTTTTTATTGGGATCAACTTGTATATTCTTGGTACAGATATATCTAGTTGCTCTCCGATCTACTTAATAGAGATTGTGTCCAAAGTCGGAAGTTATCGGAAATCACAGCGCATTTGCCTATGTCAGAGGGCTCCTATTCTCGGAACCCATACACTAACTAATACATACATCAAGTATCAGTACTGATCTTCGAGAGTCTCGCTGTACATAGGAACAATGTGTTTCCGAACTTGCAAGTAAAGTGTTGCCGACGGCGGCCTGTGATCCATACGAGTCCCGCGGACGAGTAACAAACCTCTTTCCTTCCCAGCGCGGGATAGAATGGCAGTTCGGATCAACGTGAGAGATGATCCTGATAAAAACTGCTCTATAGTAAGGCAAGGCTTTAGTAACGACCTCGCTCTCAGATGGACTATGGATGGGCATAAGCAACAAAGATATTATGTTTCAGAGCAGTATCTTCTTCCTGCTGATGAGACTGAGACGGCAAGGTGGGTTCACAATCCTCATCAAGAGGAGACTCCGGCTGACTATACGTATGAAGGCTCAATTCACAGCACTACGTTTATGTCAAACTATTTGGGAATAAACTTTCGTTGGCACCGTTGCAGTTGAAATCAGGAGATCGTGTTCTTGAGAGCGCGGCAGGAACTGGTCCAGTTCTTTCATCCTCGTACCCATTCTGTCAGCTGAACTCGGCGATCTAGGCATATGGGCACTCGAGTTCCTTGAAGAGAACGAAAAGAAGGGTATCACATTGGACATGGAATGCGTCGATATCTCGGATAAGCAGTTTACCCAGAAACATCCTTCGAATATCCATTTTTCCCTCCACTCCGTGACGGATCTGCCAGCAGAGTGGAATTCGAGATTTTCATATGTCCACCAGCGACTTTTGGTGACATCAATTGATCGCTCGGTCTGGCCCAAAGTTATCAGCGAGTTATTCAGAGTCCTTTCACCGGGAGGATGGATTGAAATTGCGGAAGTCCAGCTCAAAAGTTATCAATTGGATGTCGGCCCATTCTCAAAGAAGATGCAATCCTTGGTCCTGACAATGATGGCAGATAAGGGGTACTCTCTGGACGTTGCAGCTTATATTCCTTCTCTTTTAGAGGGAGCTGGTTTCGTCGATGTTCAGTCTGAGGGTCGTCAAGGCTGTATAGGACAATCGGGAGAGAAAGGATTCCCGATTGAAGAGCGTGGTAGTTTTTTCAGAGCATTGAAGCGCACTATAATGAATGCAGGTGGTTACGGAATTGTTAGAACAGAACAGGAGTACGAGGAACTCGTGCGGGGGTCTGAGCTAGAATGGATCACCCACTCAGACGAGGCCTATGTATACATCTATACGTTTTACGCGAGGAAGCCCTAAGTTTTCTTGCTCTTTCTCGTATGTGTTATTTATCTGGCAATAGATTCAATCAGCATGAGCAGGTACGGATCCGCAGCGTACCGTGTACGAGCAAAATTTGTTTAATACGGGACGGTATACTGTACGGCTTCCTGATAGGCTGAGTTTGCATAAGTCCTCAATATGGGGATGTCTGAAAACGTACCTACTCTTCCCAAGATTCCTGATTCTAGAGCGCATGTCTCTGTTTATGCGCGAGATCAGCGCAAGCTGCCCTCGTTTCCATTGGCGCCCATATCGATCAGGTCAAAGCGCTTATTTTTGACCATTCTCTGCCATGTCGCGTACAATCAAGAACCGTCTAATAAAGCCTAGCCTATCTTTGGCCTGTCCAGCGCCTTGAAATCATAAAGAATTAAATAAAAATCTCACGAATGTAGGCCAGGATCGCGTCATATCACATAATTCTCATACGCCAGCTTCTTCTCGTACCAAACGCATCGATAGTGAAGCTGAGGAAGGATATAGTTATGACTGGTCCAGATTTCTCAGAGATTCCCTTACTTGACTACTCACTTGCTCTTTCGAGTACGACAAAGCCACACTTCGTCCAGCAGCTGCGAAACGCTCTCATCAATGTTGGATTTCTATATCTATCAAATACGAATTCTGTAGTGGACGAAGAACTCATTGAAAGGCTCAAGATCTACATTCCAAAGTTGTTCGCTCTTCCTCAGGAAGAAAAAGACAGGATTCAGAAGGCAAATTCGCCTC